GGTATTTTTTTTTTTTTTTTTTTTTTTGTGAACTGAGCAGTATATAATCTTGCAACAAGCCAAAGCCATTTGCGTGAACTATTTCCGTAACAAGATTTTTTCTTCTTCAATATTATATTAAAGGAATAATAACTCTTCGTTTTGGGCAAAAAATGAATTTTCCTAGAGTAAACAACGATTTTCCCATACTTACCAATGGTTAATGAATCCATTTTTACATTCAAAGCTAGAACCTGTTTTTTTCTAAAACGTTTTTTTTTGTTATAATCTCTTAAGAGATTATAACAGAGTATAGCCATCAATGGAGGTCACGTGGTCTAAAAACAAGCCCAGATATCAGAAAAATAGCTATAACTGCCGTTTTTGTGGTACAACAGAATATATTATATTTCTTTGAGTTGTTCACAATGTTTTTATTATGAAATATAGATCTCATACGAAGAGATATTATCCCTTTAACATTGACGTCGATATATTTGATATAAACCCGCATTGCATTAAAAGACATAGAATTATTAATGTCCCGGTGTAACATAAAAGAGAGTCCCCCACTGCATGATAGAGACCGCTTCCCATTCATTTGTACAGGTAAGCCTCGCCCCAGATTTTGACCCACTTAGGTCGGGCTAACCCTAGCCATTATTACTAAAGGGACGGCGGACTTTCTGTTACACGCACCCTCAGTTTTGTTACACCTGCGTACCAAAAAAGCGTTCAACATTGTTGTATAAACTTATTTCCCTGTTGCAGTTTACATAAAGCGGCCATGCAACATTTAACGAGAAGATTCATCTGTATTTTAATTACTTGTATGGTGCTCGTGCTGATGTACCTCTGGGACAGGAAGTTCTTAGGTAAGTGCAAGGGTGCATATATTATACTTTGGTAAACAGTCATGCATTAACGCTTGCTTCAGCCGTCCACAGGATAGCCAAAGTATACCTGCAGCAGAAGCGAGCAGATTCAGACTGTTCCATGGCCAGTGTTTAGTCCCGACATGACTCCCACTGAGCACGCCTACCACCGTCATAGAGTTTAGAGCTGCACGGTGAGAAAGAATGGACAGGGATGCCTCAGTTCTTTAGGCAACACTGTTGTATGAAAAAGTGTGTTAAAAGCATACACATAACAAACGTTTTATTTATTTATTTATTTATTTATTTATTTATTTATTTATTTATTTATTGGGGGAGGGGGGCTAGTATACTTACAGACCACACTCCTAAAATTCCACATTTCACTGTCATTGTCCAGATAAACCTGACAGATTTTTTTTTCAGATTTAAACGGACTATATGTACCTAAAACGAAGAACGCTGATAGAAGAGCCAAAGACATGGACATTTCTGGTATCTTGAAACAGGTAAGACGCCATGCAGGATGGAAGAATGGCAATAGTCCCTTTAAAACTAATTAATACGTTCTGTAAATTTGTGTACCTCATTGGGTAAAACCGGAGTGCCTTTGTCTGAGTCCTGTTTCACAAAACGCCTGAAGTCGGTTTTTTGGGCTAACATCGCAGCTTTAATAGAAAAAGCCGACTAAGACCCCATTCCCATACCTAGATCGATCTAGCGGGATCGGTCCATCTCCGAGGGGATTCTCGCTAAATTCTTCCCCCTTTCCTCCAGTGACAAACCATGGCGTTGGCGCATGGCTAGAGAATGCCTCAGTCAAAGGTCTTGCAGTGTTATTCTCACGATGTCTATTCACATAGGTGATTGTAAGCATGCTATCTGTTAGTTTTCGCCTGAGTATAACCCTGCATGAGGAAGTGCTGTGCCCGAGGAATTTTCCTCGGTTTTACTTATTTCACCACCCAAAGTACAGTAATCTTAATTATCACTTTTAACGACCGCAAAATTGATTTTATTGCAACACAGTTAAAGTAGAAATGTCATCCAATACGAAAAATAACTTTGTCCATGAACTTCTATAATGTAATGAAAGAGGGCATGGTTCAAACTTTTGCATCTTAAATGACGCTTTTTTGGTAGTATAATGTAGCATTTTAATATTATCTCGGACGAATAAAACAAAAGGGGTTGGGACGTGGCATCTACCTTTGATTATAATCAGTGCCTGCTGCGGCTGTGTCAAGAGAAGTTTCTCTATATCTTTGCATTAATTATATACTTTCTCATGGTCTTGTGGTCGCTATGATATAGCATTGCCGCCATCTTGAATGCTGCTTGCGGTTAGACGTGGAAATTTATTCGATCTTTTCTGTATTTTTTCCACTTAATCTCAAAAATAAAGGTTTTTCATACCCTTTAACTTTTATCTGTTCGTTATTATTACAGCACCGCCATAAAACACCAAACAATATGTAGATATGGACATATCTGATTACATACATGCTAAAATTGCACATGACAAAAGTTTACAACCTCGCAGGAATTTTTCACCATGGCGTTCTTTGTCGTCCACGTTTTATTCGTCTAAGATGTTACTGAATATATGCTAGATTAAATACGTGTTTCGATTTTGGTTTATCTATTTAATTCCATTTTTTTCATAAAGTATGATAAACGCGGTAATGTAATACTGGCACGCCTGAATTGGCTTCTAAAACGACGGGTTGATAATAATGTTTTTAAACAGTGGTAGTATACAATAGTGTATTTATCTTTAAAATTCTCTTCTTTTTTAGAAATATCATTGGGATAAAGTTCCTGGAGAATGGTTGGAAACTATGAAACGGAGAAGACAAATGTTATTTCAGATGTGCAAGGATCAGAATGAAACCATTAGACCGGGAGCACCAGTTGAAGTGAAGAAACATCCTATTCCAGACAGAACCTTTGTCGAAGACATCTATCAAATAGTTCTGTGTCCCATGGCAAAAGCAGCAAGTAAAACCTGGTTGAAGATATATTTCAAACTAAACAAGCAGATGAACACATCTGCGTTACATAATGACTGGATATCAGGGCATCTTATTCACGTGCATAATCTTAACAAGTACACTGAATTTGGTATCAACACACGCCTTAATACCTATCTTAAAATAATGACAGTCCGTCACCCTATGATCCGTCTTGTGTCGGTGTATCACGAACAAGTGGCACCTCACGGATCTCAATTTGAGAGGTACGTGAAGCGCTTTATCGAGAAGACAGAAGGGAGAAAAATCCAGTCTGTTACATTTGAAGACTTCCTGCGTTACGCCATCCAAACTCCAAATATGCATTGGGATCCGTTCATTAAATTTTGTGATCCGTGCCATATAGATTATGATCTGTTGATATATTTCGAAACTCTGGCAGACGACGCCAAAAACACGCTGATTCTTTTGGGTGCAGACGACATGATCAAACTCCCGCCATCACATCGTGCAGATAAAATGTCGGCTGACGACGAAGCTCGAAAACATTATGATGGTGTAGACAGAGAGCTACTGAAACGAGTTATCGCAATGTACGGGATTGAAGAGAAGTACTTTGGATACAACTTGAGTTTATTTTCATGAAGTAAACATACATGCACGCTTTATTAGTGTTCAACTTTGATTCAAATGTGATCGAAATATTGTAAAGCACGTGGTTCGAAAGAGTTGGGAGGGACGTATCCAGATAAATAGGACAATTTGCCGACAAGACATTTGACGAGGGTCCCATTTTCAAGCTATTTTGGGGCGAAACGAGGGATTCATTTGGTTTTTGACTTGGCAAGTCGAATTTATTTTGTCGTATGTGAAACTAGGAAAAGTGATTCATATGCGTTAATGGGAAATCACGCTCGCTTTATATGTTACTTTAAAAGTTAATACGGTTTTCAGCTGACATCTAACACAGTGTTTTTTGAAAATATTCAATAGAAAGAGCCAATGTTCATTAAAGTCATGAAATGTCTCTTTTGGGAAAAATCCATGAGCAACGTTCAGTTTGAAATTTGCGCACATACAGTAAGCTCATCAAGACCTTTTCAAAGAACGCACTGACACCACCGCCATGTTATCTTTTCCACCTTCATAATTTTGACTGGGTTCCCATACCTAAATCGATCTAACAGGATCGATCCATCTCCGAGGAGTTTCTCGCTAACTTGTTTCCAGCTTAAGCGCCTTATATGTCTGGTACGCCTACTGAAACTGCTAAACAATAATTAATTACTCCATAGTAACAACTCTTCGTATGAGATCTATATTTCACAATAAATACATTGTAAACAACTCATAGAAATATAATATATTGTATTTTACCAAAAAAAAAAAAAAAAACGGCAGTTATAGCAATTTTTCTGATATCTGTCCTCGTCATCGGACCACGTGACCTCCTTAGATGGCTCTGTAAGAATCTCTTCAAAAAAAGTATTTAGAAAAAACAGGGACTAACTTTGAATGTAGAAATGGATTCATACCATTGGTAAGTATGGGAAAATTGTTGTTTACCCCAGGAAATTTCATTCTGTGTCTAAAATGAACAGTTGTTATCCTTTACCATTATTAGTTTTCATAAAGAAATCTTGTGGAATGATATTTTTCTTTAGTGTTTGCTGGAAATTAAAAACATTGCCTAACTGGAACCTTTGCATATATGTACAGTACTGTACATAAACAAATTCCCTAGTCCCAATCTCTCCGACTTATGCAGAATCTACTGTACACATGTCTCTCCCGCAAATAAGAACACGACAACTACAGCGCACAGAATATCTGCCTTTTCTATAATTCTTTATTACTTCAAACTTGAAACTGGGACTAATGCCAAATACATGTACACTGTAAGATACACTCTCTGCTCTTGTTATTCTGACTGATTTCACGTATAGAGGTAGATGGTACAGCCGTCTTCACTTAGCTACATTGCAGTCCGCTATTTTTGATTAAAGTTGAGTCGTGACAAAAACCATGTCGATAGTATCAGCTACCTTCCGATATCAGGCCCCCTAAAATAGTATACAAAATTTCACTGTGGGCCTTTCAAAATGTTTGTAACCGACTATATATACTAGGACACCCAGTGGTCACAGAGTATGTATCAGTATTAACGTTAGTGGCCATATGTGTTGCTTCTCCTTCGTCGTTCAGATTGATAAGGTCTGATATTCTTCACCCATGCCAAAGAGTGCGTTCCCGTTATGCCCCTATTTCGAACAGACCACGAATCCAACGAATGGCCATGAATTGACAAATTTCAGGATTCGTGGTTGAATCGTAATCAGTTCGTGAAGTTCTTAACATGTTCGTATATATTCGTAGTCAGTTCTTGTACTTCTTGACCAACAGGAATTAGTGGCAAAAACTTTGATGCCCCTATTTCACACAGACCACGAATCCCACGAATCGCAAGGAATTGAAAATTTCAGGATTCGTGGTTGAATCGTAATCAGTTCGTGAAGTTCTTAACAGATTCGTTTATAATCGTAGTCAGTTCTTGCAATTCTTGATCAATCGGAATTCGTGGCAAAAAATTTGAACTGTTCAAAATTTTGGCTACGAGCTCCCGATTCCAAAAAATCGTAGTGAATTTCTGGACAATATTCGTGCGATTCCAGCCGAATCCCACGAATATTCGTAACACTATCGCACCTGTATCGTAACTGAATCGTAGAGCGTGTCAAATTAGACCAGTAAATTGGCAAAATCTCACGAATCCTCACGAATCCTGAAATTTGTCAATTCCTGGCGATTCGTGGGATTCGTGGTCTGTGTAAAATAGGGGCATTAAATGTCTGTTTCCTTTCAACCGAAAAAAGCATGTTTACTGTTGAAGTCGCCTATAAATAGACACTTTTGATATTGATCAAAGTGCTTAAACACTGCTTTATCTGGGATTATATGCGCTTTTGTTTGATTTATCGTACTTTCTATTTCCAGTATTTCAGCTATAAGGTTGCTGGTATTGATAACTTGTACTACGTTTCCTAGCGGACTTCCATTCTTGTTACACCGAAACTTTTGCACCGCTTTTCCGTCGTTGTGACTGATTTGTAGCCACGTACTTTTTTTATTTCTGGTAGCTAAGTGCCTCTCATCTCACTTCTGGCTGTCGATTTTATTTACCATCTGAATAACGTAAGATACCGAAGAGGTCTAAAATGGATATTCGTGTATTTCTATGATTTTGTTGGTCTTTTAAGAAATTAAAATCTCAAGATTCATCATTATGAAATATCAATATTCTGTACATCATTCTTTGAGTAAATAATGATTTGTAAAAAATACTGTCTTAATGGATCAATTTTTAAAGAAAAAAAATGTCAACTTCAAGTCACCGTAGCAAGCTGACTGTTAGTGTCAACCATTAAAACTGTTGTTGACACGTAGTTTATCTATACCTGAAGACATAGATACTGATCAACAGATCCTAACTGTACTCTATAATTAACTAGACTTGGTGCGTTCCTCCAGCCTTGTGATCAGAGGTGTCATCCGGCTAGCCGCGGATGACACTTGAGTAAAAGAATAAAAAATACCTCCCTTGATTGCCATCAAGCCACTGGATGATTAATCTACCTGTACAAAATAATCAATCGCCTGGACTCTTCCCTTCGAGCCCTATAATTATCTGTGCGTCATCAAGAATTAATCTACCGGTACGATCTCGCTCCTTTTTCTCTATTTTTGTACTAATTATACCGTATGGCAATCAGCTGTGACCTGTACCTCAGTAAACAATAGAGTGCACGCGCACGTGCCGCGTGGGTCCAGGCTTCAGGTGTGTATAAAAAGCCACGGGTTGGCGGTAAGTTTCACACATTCAGCAGTCATGCCTCTGAACAACACCAAAGCACGCTCTACACTTGCAGTTGCCGGGAAATCCGCAGCCACTTCCTCCAAGGGTGGCCAAGGGAAAGGAACAAGTGGAGGAACATCCAAGAAGCAGTCACAGACCGGCTCTGGGAAAAGCACCGCCGCTGCCAAGAAGCAAAATACAAAGGGGAAGAAAACCAAAGGGATGCTGCCACCAGGGAAAAAATTCGAATCCCAGCATTATGATATCATTCGAAAAACGATGAAGAGAAACCCCTGGACCAGCGCCGCAAAGCTGCAAAGCATTCTGTACAAGAAAACAGGTGAGACGAAATTTTCCAGTAGTATTTGTTACTGACCACGACTACTCCCTATTATAACTTGACGTTACATTCTTACATTAATTTAGTCCAATGGCTGCAAGTTGCTGGTAGATAATGAATAAAATAAATTTTTATCCTCGTTAGCACTACGCATGCATTTTTCAATTAGTCTTTACTCAGTCTTGATATTAATCATTAAGTTCAAATTAGCTATTACGCTTATATCATAGTCGTTATTATCTAAAAATTTAATAGTAATGTACATTCATTTATTTCAGGCCTTGACGTCAGTGAGTCCAGCATTAGCAAGGTGAGACATAAGCTCGGTTGCCCCCCTGCCAAACCTAGGTTCATTTACGTGCCCGCTTTGGACGAGAGGAATAATCCGAACAGTCCTCTTTACAAGCCCCCAGTAAATGCACCAGCCCCCTACCGTCCAGATTTCCTTAGCAGCAGAATTCCTGGTGGTGCAAGGTTAATGCAGCATATGTAGGAAGTTATCATATTCCTCCAAACAGCCCTTTTCAGGGCTACCCATTGATCAAGAAAAGCTAAACCACTTGTTTATTTATATTCATTAAAATATTTATTTATTATTTGGCAATAAATTAGTTTGGATATACACAATATAAATAAGTTTGAATACACACAATATAAATTATTTAACAGTTGATATTAGTTCGAGGAAACAAACTAAAATTAGAAGTAAATTTATTAATTATACTCTCAGGTTCACTGGTTCTTTCGTCTACCTGTTGGGTTCACGCTGTTGCAAAACAGACGCTTCTTTTTCATATAATTATTCAGATGAATAGATTTCATCATACTATAATTTTTTAATTCGCATAAGATGATAAAAATGTGAGAAAAAAACTAAATTTATCCAGAGCTAAGTCAACAATGGCAATGACCACCATCCTATTGGGATAACTGCTGCTGATGTTGGCCAAACACCGATTTTCCTGGGGTGCACGTCAATTTCTCGTTCTCACCAATGGCAAATTAATCCGTTCCAAAATTCAAAGTTAGTCCATGTTTTGTTTTTCTATGACCTCTTTAAATATTATTTCCAAGGGTAACCATCTATGAATGTCACTTTGAGCGATGACAAGAACCCATTCCCGATTTATATTTTTCTTTGGTATTTGCTGGAACCTTTATGCCTCAAACTTTATGCAAAATCCACTGTAAACATGTCTCCCGTAATTGAGTACAAAGCAAATACAGAATACGAAATTGTTTTCTTTATATATTTTTTAATTAGAAGATGTACCTTGGGCTGCTGCCCAATACATATATATCAATACACTGCAAGTATTTTTTAATAACTGACATTACAAAAAATAAAGCTCACAAATATGCATTCTCTTCTATCCAAAAGTAAACAATGATATATTTATTATATGAATCCTGTACTTTTGATTTAACTACAATTCATAAACAAAATCAAAG